CTCCTCCTCCTCCTCTTCCTCCTCCTCCTCCTCCTCCTCCTCCTCCTCCTCTCTCCTTCCTCTCCTCCTCCTCCTCCTCTCCTCCACCTCCAAACCTCCCCCTCCTCCCTCCTCCTCTCTCCCCCTCCTCCTCCTCCTTCCTCCCCCTCCTCCTCCTCCTCCTCCTCTCTCCTTCCTCCTCCTCCTCCTCCTCCTCCTCCTCTCTCCCTCCTCTCTCCTCCTCCTCCCCCTCCTTCCCCTCCTCCTACTCCTCCTCCTCCTCTTTCTCCTCCTCTTCCTCCTCCTCCTCCTCCTCCTCCTCACGACCTCGCAACCACGTGGGCATGACATTCCAGGGCCTGGGCGCGCTTCCCAGGGGTGTCCGCTAATCGCTGCAGCTCTGTACGTTGGCAAAAATTTTGTGACCCTTCCACGAGCAGAGCATGCCCTCGTTCATCGCGATGCAGCGCTTGCTCACCCTTGGCGTTGGGAAGCTTTTTTTGCAAGTTTGGATCGCCCCCGGGCCCTAACAACTGAACTGCCCTTTGTTGTAATGGTGTGTCCGTCCGCGTGATCGCACCCGCGCGCCGGCGAGGACGGGACGCCCAAGAAGTGCCCCCTCCCGCGCCCGGCCCTCGCAGTCATCGGCGTCGTACTCGTCTTCTTCTCTCGGAACATAAGCATAATCATAAACTTTTGAGGTCCGCGCGGACTTCTTGGGTCGGCGCTGGAACACACCTGGCGGTGCCTCCCTCGCCGGCCATGGAGGGGGGTCCAGCGCCGATCCAAGAAATCCGCGCGGCCCTTCGAACGTCTATGTTATGCAGTTCTTCTCATGTTCTACTGTCCGCCTGTACTTCATCCTCCCGTCCTCGTCATCCTCTCTGCAGCGCTAGAGCCCGCCATTTTTGCCACTCGTCCTTCTGTTGAAGAACGACCTAGGTTTCATCTTCTATAACGTTGAAAGCTTGTACGACGAATGTGTGCCCTAAGGCGGGACTCACATTTTGAATACGTTCCGTCCTCCTTCCGTGGAAGTGTTGGCCTTTCAGTTCCAGGGTCTTCCATGGTGAGGAAGACTCAGTCGGAACGCCGGACCCGCCCTAACAACACGTCTCGTAGTGCGACGTATGAAGGGATGAGCAGGAGAAGGAGGAAGAGGAGGAGGAGGTCGCAAGCCCAAAGAACTCCGCAGCCAGCCGAAACTAAGTAGGGATCCTTGATATTAAATGGGCGGCTACCCTCGCCGCTTGGTGGCTCCGCTTAGGGGGGCCCGGGACGCGGATGCCGTCCTGTATTGAGATTCTGATATTCTTCATTGCAGTCATTCTTGCCCGACGGATCTCCCAGGTGACCGTGCCATTACATGGTTCCTTCAGCACTTGGGATTGTCGGGAGACGGACGAGCCGCCGCATCTGAGGCAGTAAGCAATAGTACCCGTCGTGGCCACATGGTGGCCCCGAGCGAGTTCAAACGGGGGTTCCACTGCTACCTGGGGGCATACAAGGCTAGGTATACTAGACACAGCATTACTAGCACCACGGGCAGTCGCCGACGAGCTAGGTAGACTAAGCACAGTCCCGCAAGGCCTAGGCGCACTACCATCCCTTCCAGACGCACGGGTCTCATGTGAAGCCACGGCGTCTCCAGACACTCTGGACGGGCTTCTGGCAGGCGAGGTGCCTCGAGCAGCCTTCGAAGAACTCACAGCAGGAGTCGTGGGAACTCGGGGACTCGCAACCTCCCCGTCCCCACTCGGATGGCCAACCGCAGGTCCCAAGACGGTCGGCGGCGCAGAGCACGATGGCGATGGCAGCCTCCGAGGACGAGGAAGAGAGGGAGGCGCTGGCCGAGGAGGAGTAGGGGAGCTTCTGCCTGGCGCGGGCCACCAGGCGCTGCAGGGCAGTCGGCTCGTAGGACGTGCGCTCCAGCCTCACCACCGCTGCCTCAGTGGAGGCCTTGGCCATACATCCCGTGCAGTTCCAGCCGGCCCCGTCGCGGGCAACCTCGTGCTGTTCTCGACCAGCTGCACATGGTCGCGAGCAGCAGGACTCGTCGCAGGACATGGACCAGCTCCTTGTATCCGTCGGAGTGCCAATCTTGGCGACGAGCCCCGCCCACATATTGCCATAGAAGTCGCATGTCTGGTGGCCATCCTTATTGAGGTAGTCGTCGGCCAAGAGATGGGCAGGACACCAGACGCCTTGTGGCTTGGCACGCCACTCGCACAGCGCGAATACCCGCCTTCAAATGTCGGCATACTGGCCTCTCGCGTTTTCCGCCGCCAGTGATGCCAGGTCCGTGACGAACTCCACGTAGGGCATGCACATGAGCGCCTGGAGGAGGGCCCATCGCTCAGCCCGTCCAGCCGTCTGACGACCAGGGAGGCTGCCGAAGATGTCATGGACGCGGAGGACATCGTCGGCGCTTATCTGCGCGCACGCCCACCCACATTTGCAGAGCTCAGGCCATGAGGTGTCGTGGCCGGAGCCGTCGTGGCGCACGACCGTGAACCGCAGGCTGACATCAGTGGACGAGGAATCCCACCAGCATGCATCACATGACTCAGCAGGCGGATGCCCCTGGTCTGGGACCATGGGCAGCCCAGTAACGATGTCGAATTGGTCGTAGTCGCTGTCAGCCACCCCGATGCTGCACCTGTCCTTCAGCTTGGCCCTGCGCCTTGTGCAGGTCCTCCGAGAGCGGCTCCATGGTGCTGCCCTGGTCCTGGCCGACATGGAGCACGTGACCGCACTCATAGAACTGGTGGCCCTAGGAGCACGGCTGCTGCTCAGGGCAGTGTGGGCACCAAAGGGTTCGACAGATAGCCCTTCGCATGGCGCTTGGCCGTGTCCCAAGAGGCGCCAGCCCACAGCTTGCGCAGCTGCCCAGCTCGAGGCCTGCGACGTAGAGCCCGCGGCGGCGCCAGTATCCTCCGCATAGCGCGGTGCCAGATGGAGGCATTGGGGGGCGGCTCGGGCTCCGAATGGTGAGCTAATGTCTGCCTGCCCTGCCATCGTTGGATGCCCTCCCGAACCAGCTTGTCGACCTCCTTGGGCGCCGCGTGCAGCAGCTTGACGAGGGCTCCCGCTTCCGAGGCCAGGATCAGGCTGGCATGCATCGTCCAGCCACTTCGCAGCAGGCCCATCCGCATCGCGGCCAGCGGCCCTCGCGCACCATGCCAAGTCGGCTTATCGTCAAGCCACCTGCGCTCAAGCTCCTTCCGCGCGCCTTGAACCTTCGAGTTTTTAGAGCTTGCCGCGTGCTTGCCAGCGGGCGCCAGCGTGGCGTCGCACATGGAGTCGAGGCACGGGCCCTTCTGAGTTGCCAGGTGCAGGGTGTTCGAGTCCGCCCCGACTCCCCCTCGCCCACTGCGCAGGAGCACTGCCGCCTGGCGCAGCTTGGCCGGGTGCTCGTCCTCGACGCCCGGAGCTGCAGCACCGCGTGCAGTTGACGGTGGTTGCCCAGTCTTCCAGAGCGCCTGGATGCGAAACCCCGCAGTATGTTGCAGGGCCACTGTGCGCGGAGCATGGGTCTCGAGGAGGCCAGCCGCCTCTTGGACACAGTGCGGGCGACTCCCTTGCCGTAGGCACCATGGCCAAGGTTCCGTGCGTGCAGCGGTTGTGGGGGCCGTGGCGCTTGAGCCACCATGCCGAAGCCCGCTTGGCCGCCGTCGTCGCCGCCGAGCCTGACTTGGCAGACCTTGACCTCCAGCCCGAGGGGCCCGAACTCACCGATGGAACTTTTCACCACCTCGTGAAGAGCCAGCGCGCCTCTGCCGATGGTCTCGCCAATCCACTGCAAGGTGAGGGCGTCCATGGGCCTCGCGGCGTCGAGTCCCCAGAGATGTCCCCGAGCCTGGTGACCGCGCGGAAGAGGAGCATGGCGAGCGTCGCCGAGCTGTGCGTGCAGCTTGCCATGATGCTCTGGTTGGTGGTCATCGCGTGAGACCAGCAGCCGTGCGCTCGAATGGCCCGAGGCATGTGGAAGCAGGCCAGCAGCTGCCAGACCACGCGCATGGGGTAGTTTAGCCGCTTCGCCTTTGCCAGAAGAGGCTGCAGCAGAACGCTGCCGAAGGCTTCGTGCAGGTCCAGGACGATCGAGATGCTGGCCTCGCCGAGGAAGTGGGCAATGTCAGCCGAGATATTGTGGCCGAAGGCTGGGTCCACCGAGGAGGCTCCACGACGGAGGCCAAAACCGTTCCGCGTGGATGTAGCATGATCCATTTCCTGAACAGCGGTCGTCTCGTTCTCGCCCAGGCCCTGATGAGGGCGGAGACCAGGGCGATGAGGCGCGTGCCTCCGTCTGGCTTGGGCAGGCGCGCCATCGCGTTGATGATGCGCTCGGGCGGCCAACAGAGGAAGGCCTCGCGCTGCGTGATCAAGAGTGCCAAGGTACGCAGGCCCACGCCCGACGCGTGCCGCACACGTCGGGGATGCAGCCTAGATTGTCTGGCCGCCGTGCTGACGCTGAAGTTGAGGATCGCCTGCGTGACTTAGGCGCCGTCCAGGGGTGGGAGCTCATCCCATCTGCTGGTCATCTCCAGGCAGGTGTACCCACGGAGCCTCATGCACCACGAGCTCTCCCATTCGTCCATGGCCGTGGCCGCCAAGAGGTGGGGGTGGATCGGCGACGCGCCAGGGCCAGAGGCACCGCGTCCAATCATTGTGGCAGAGGTCGGCAGCGATTCGCTTGGCAGAACAAGCGAGGTCGGCGTGCCTTGCGTCTTGGCGAAGGAGATGCTAACTCCAGCCGCCGTGGCTGGGGTCGGCAGCGACTCGCCTGGTGGGGCAAGGCAATCTACCACACCTTGCGATTCGGCACCAGAGGTACTATCTCCAGCCACCGTGACAGTGCCGAGGAGCTCCAGGCAATACTGCTGCTTTGTGGCTCAGTGTGCCCTGCTAGCACCATCCTGGAAGGCATCGTCCACCCGCTGGCGCCAACGAGCAAGTTCAGCGGCGTCGTGCGAGGCCTGCAGGTCCATCTTCTGCTCGAAGTTCGATTTGATGATGAGCTC